GCAGTAAACAAACACTGTTGTTGCACTTTGTCGTTTATCAAAAACAAAACGTAATAAATAATGGTATTTTACCCTCACTTTTGTCAGGCAAAAAGTAATGCAAGAGATGCACTGCCTGCCCAGACAAACCATCAAACTTTGCTGACACTAGAGAGGAGAGAACACAAGTTTACCTGACTGCTGTTTCCGCAATTCACTCTCATGTTTTTCTTCTTCCTCTTTTCGTGACGAGAACGATAGTTTCGCTTCATTTTGTCATGGACTTCGTACACATTAATTAGCGCGCGACACGAGATGGAGGCGCGGCCTGAGTAATTTGCGGTGCCTTACCATACGGTCGCGTGCAGTCTATGGTCTCGTGGAAACAGTTTGACTTTCTATTTTTTTTTTTTTTTTTTTTTTTGGAAGTGAATGAGGCTTTGCGATTTTTATATTATTTTTTTGTCTAGGCCTACGTGAAATTCTACATCCATTGTACGATTTTTTTTTCCTCAGAAGGGCAACCTGAGTCAAGAAGGGCATATGGGCAGTTGCCCGGGCAACCTGAGCAACCCCCCTGTGCACGTCCCTGAATGGCACCCATGGTCACCTATATATCGCCTAAAATCAGACCTAACTTTTCATGATGAAGCACAAGACTACAGCTGTACTGCACAAATCTAATCTTTGCAGTTAACCAAAAATAGGCAATGGGACACAATTTGTTGCACCAAGTTGCCAACAACAAAATATTGGTCTGCATGACCTGAAACGCAATGTTATATATTACATACTGAACTTGTTCAAACTAATTATATGCTATTTTAGAGTTTATAGATACTATGGCCCTTTCTGCATGCAAATAAAAGTCAGTTTCCAGAAAACCAACCTTTCGCCAAACAGTCTGTGTGTGCAGGTGTGTTGGTGTGCGAGTGGGTGGTGTGAAATTCAAAGCATATTAATGTGAGCATGTTCTCTAGATAGCTATTAACAAGTCTATAATTAATGTTGTAAACTTAGTGTCGGGGCTGTGAAGGGGAACCAGTGGCCTCTGGCTAAGTGAGTGTATTGAGAGGCCATCCATCTCCTGTGACCGTATCATTTCTCTGTTGGAAGAGCACACCACAGGAAGGCAGGCCCTTTCTTACATGTCAAATTAGAAGGGAATCCCTACAGGCCATTGTTAGGCACATAGTTATGTATTTGATGAGATCTGAGACTAACTTTTAAGCAAACAGAGGGAAAGACCATGGTGAATATAATTGAAAATCCATGCAAAATAATTGTATCTTTTTACATTTCCACTTTGATTAAAAACAAGTGGATTTTGCCTTTATACACCACTATAATATCTCTGATTGGGGCGTCACCTTAGATGATTGAAAGCACAGTGAGGGGCTGAAATAATGGAGACTGTGAAGGACGAATCCCCCCTTCACCCAACCTGCTCAATGAAATGACTGGATTAGGCAGTTAATTGCCCAGCGCTTGGACATGGATTGACATCCAGGTAACAATTACACTGTAAACTGATGGCGCTTTGAAGATTGATGGCGCTTTGCTAATTTGCATTTAGTCATGTTTGCTTTCATTCTTTTCTTTAAACAATTATTGCACAGGCTGCAGTTTCTAGATATGACTTTCTGCTTTCTGTGAATCAGCCTTAAGTATCTCTCTTCATGGTGCCCGAGTTAAAGGGTTTACCAGTTCTGTTTCTGGGGACTTTGTGTTATTTAGTAGAATTAGTGTCAGGTCACACTGAAAGGGGGGTGAAGAACTACAGAGAGCCATAAAATACGGCGTTTATTGGGAGCACACACAACTCATTATACTTCTCATTAATTACCAGATGACAAAGCAGCCACTTGCATATCAGCCTGTGGTGCAAATGGGAAAAAGTGCACGTTAAATTTTCTAATGATTATGCAAATGATCGCCAAGCAAGCGAAGGTTATCACGTCCGCACGCAAGGCAGTAATTACCGCCTCCAGGGATAAGCACGAGACTAAATCATTAAGCAGAAGAGTATAGCGTGATGCAGCAATGCATTTAAAACATCACCTTAACAATCAAATAGAACTATCCCCTTTGGTTGTAATGCTTTAAAGTTTGTTACATTCAGTTTCAACTGTTCCTCTAGTCCAGGGATATCCAAACCTGGTTTTGGAAACTTGGTCTCCAACTTGCCTCAACACACCTGCCTGGACGTTTCTAGCAGAGATGGTCTTATTATTGGGAAGAGGCCTCTACACTTGGAGAATGCGTAACGGCTAACTTGGGTCATGTGTGCTTTGATAATCAATCATATTACAGCCTTGATGTCATTAAATTTTGTTCAAAGTTGTGCAATAGTCAGTCACTGTTTGTGGATTTATTGAAATGAATGAGAAGTGCCATAAACTGAATCATAACTGTCGGGTAATTGTCTGTCAATGACCATTTTCAACTAAAAGCTGAAAACTGTCAATTCATTAATAAGCTATTCATTGATTTCCTCACAAAAGCGGTTTATTCGGTCTCTGAATACCCCTGTGTTAGCAGGCATTACACTTTTTTCAGCTAAGGTTGCAGGCTTGCCTTCAAGTGGCTTTGTAGTATACCTATAGGTATACTATAGTACTATAGACTGAAAAACTATGGTGCCCTATATCAGGTAATGACTTGCAGGCAGCATTTGCACATGAAGGTTCCTCACGAAACTGATTTCGGACAGACTTCTGCGGCAGCGTAACGGTTTAATGATCTACAGCAAAATGGAGAGAGCTTAGCTGAAAACTAAGCTATTTAATTAGTTTTTTTTTTTAAATAGCAGTTTCTCGCAAGAAATTACATCAAAAGTGGAAAATGTTGGTCAAAAACATATTTACACATCATTTGACCATCAACCGCACTTAACTGTCACAGAATGGAAAGCACAAGATTGTGGGATATTAAAGCCAGCGAAGGATACATCTATGCTGGCTTTCTAACAATGAATGCATCCTCAGAAGGCAGCATTTAACAGTTTTCAAACACAGCCCTTGATTCAGGTGTGTTTAATTGGGGTTGGAGCTAAACTCTGATGGACAGTGGCCCTCCAGGAGCAGGATTGAACACCCCTGCATTAGTCTGTAGCAGACCCTGGCTGAGGCGGCATATAATTGCTTAAAGCAGTTTACAAGGCGAGTATGAGGCACAGCCCCCACAAACAGCTCCATTCTCAAAGACAATTGTCCATTCTCTCTCTTCTCACTCAAAATTGGATTTACTTTTTTAATACATGAGCATTGTGGACAATTTATGAGCGCATGTTATTCCAAAAGACAAAATTTGTTTGTTCATGTAATCTTTAATCAATATGTAAAAACTATCTGAAATGACATCAGGTAGCCCATTCATTGTATTAACCAATAGCTATTTAGGAACTGTTTTTGCATCCATTCTGATATGAAAAACCTATCGTCGCACAATTAAATTCCAATGGATGAAATCGAGTACCAGCCTATTTTTGTCTCATTCAAAATTCTGTTTCACTCAGACATACATACATTACAAAAATAAAGTGGGCCGCGAACACCAATTCATGTTGACTTTAAAGCAAATAACATATCTACAGACCCCAAACCAGTTTCATTAAAACTATTACTTTTGAAAGGACTGGTTATAATGTTGACTTCTGTTGTATTTTTCTCATTGATAAGTCAATTAAGGTGCTATAGGTCACCAAAAAAAAATCTGTTATGATTTACTCACGCTCATGTCGTTTCAAACCTGTATGACTTTCTTTCTTCAGTGGAATTCAAAAGAAGATATTTTGAAGAATGTTGGTTACTATTGGATACCACTGACTTCCAGTGTGGACAAAAATATGTCAAAATATTATTCCACACAGAACAGAAGATATGGATAATCTATGTAAATTACAGATTTTTTTTCGTTATTTTTAGATGAACTATCTCTTTAAAGCGTCTGCTCTATGCACAGCTGCACTACTTCCTGAACTTCAGCCAGCTCCTTGTTTCCTGTCAGCCATTATTGGACAAATTGATTAATCCAGGTGTGCCTGACCTCAGTAGTCACGGCAACAATAATCAGACACACCTGAATTAATCAAGTTCGGCCAATAATTGCAGACAGGAAACAAGGAGCTGGCTTAAATTCAGGAAGTAGTGCAGCTGTGCATAAAGCCAATTTAACCAAAAAAAATTAAAAAAAACTTTGTTCAGGTGAAGGCAGTGAAATGACGTCTAAAGACAGATTACACAAACTATGAGCATAAAATGATGAAGAGCTCAACTGTGGATTTCATTACTTTTAGCTAGTTAAATGGCTTTGAAAAAACATTAATAACAAATTTAAAATTCCGTTTTAGATGAAGGAGAACAGCCAGCAACAGGTGATTAAATTAAGCGAGATTACTGACCTACTGTGTGTGACAATAAAAGCTCTTGTTGATATTGCATTTGTTTAATCAAGCGAATAATAAAGTTAGATGCCTTTCACTAAAAAAACATTCCCCATAGTAGAAATAGCCATCTAGAGGCTTTTAAACAAACCCTTGAGAGCTGAAGCAGTTCAGCATCAATAGCAGTTGGGGGTTGTGCAGTGCTGACCTAATGCGGAACAGCATCTCCAAAACCCATGAAAATACACTGAAGACACTGCACAGACCGCCTTACCCAGTCGTGAACTCAAAAATATGCCTGTATATAAATAAATAAAAACAATAGCTTACATTCTACATCAACCAAAAAATCCTGAAATCAAGATTAAATCATAAAGGTTTCGTTGCAACCAAAAATGTAAAAGCATCAGTGTTCCTAACACACGGCTGTAAGGCTTCTCTCTTAGATAGGCTACGCTTTCACGACGGTCAAATATTTTATAGAAATTAGAATTTAATCGTTTAAATCTTAATATCGAAATACAGATTATGCTATAGGTGAATCTTCTCAAAAACAGGCACAAATAGTGCCTCGAGTAGGCTATGCAAAATAACACGACAAAACTTTCAACAATAACCTTCTCGTGCGTAGTATTACCTTTCCGTTTAGTCCTGCCCGTGCGAATCTCCAAAAGTGAGTGAATAAGAGTGAGCTTCTTCAAACTTCCATCAGGTTTTCATCTCACCGTGCATCATACCGGAGACAGCGTTTTGCCAGCGGTTAGTTTGGGTTTCGGACAGATGCGTCTCGCACGACTATCTCCATTGGCTCAGCATCAGTTACTTCGCCCTCCCCTGAATGCTCACACGCGCCGTCTGCATCCTGGATGTATGCATCCCCTAGTAACTTTGACACTTGACAGAGAACTAAAGTGAACATTTTGTGATCAAAACTAACATATAGCCTAGATTTATCTTACAGCCTAACTTCAAAGTCTTCAAGGGTTCAATAAGACTGCTCAGGACAAGACATTGCTCGTTTTACATAATCTTATTCTGTTTTATTATTGGCAATGACAGAAAATTGCTTGTTACTAAAATAATAATCATTGATATCTGATTTGTTGATTCAGTGCATTCCCCTAAATGTCAGTTTTCGTTGTTCTCGTCATACAGAGGGAAAGAAAGAAACACGTGCTTCCACTGGAATGCGGGATCTAGACTTTCGAAATGAAGAATTGGTGATCTTGTTGCGATCCTCCCACGAACCCTCCTGTGCCTCGCATGCTCCCACTATTATAACAAATTACATGGGTTATGGGGGTGCAATGAGTGACACAGCTTCACTAATGGAGTGCATCTGTGCAAGCTGTCATTTAGTGAACACTACTGCCCCCTTTTGGTATTCAGTAACATTGTCGTGGATCAGCAACATGGTGACTCACAGTCTCACACCTTTAATTCCAGAGAATATCTCTCTGGAAAAAGTTTCTGTTTAGCCACATATGGTAAAGTCGTGACTAGGCCATTGTTTAAAAAAGACCACCATTATAGCCAATCAAAAAAAAAAAAATGTTCAGGATTTGTTATCACAACCTTTTTTCTTTTGTCAAATCAACTTAGATCATTTATGTGGTCCAGATGACATAATATTTTGAGTTTCTGTTGATTAAACCAATCTCAATTGTTTTAACTAAATTTTTTAATTTCAGTGAACTCAAATTTTTTTTAAGGTTACTTTTTAAAAAAAGTTTTTACAGTGTATACATTACAGTATATTCAGAAAAAAAATCTTACAAATAATCAGCTGTTTATATCCAATAGAACCACAAATGAAGCATTCCATAATTAAGGGCAAAGCAGATTAATCAGTCATGGGTCTGTATCCATGGAAATGGAGCTAAAATATTTTTCTCATTATTTTCGAGCCATTAGGCAAGACACATACTCTGTGCTGTGGCCTAAAAGCAAGTTGTAATACACTTTAAATGTGGGTTAATTATGCGACAGCACCTCATTTAGCCTGTAATTGAAAAATTTCTGCCTACCAAAAAGACAATAATGACCAAAACACATACTGGGGTAATGAGTTAAAATAGAAGTGTGCATTAAAATCAAGCAACAAATATAGAAAAAAAACATAAGGTTTTGGGTCCATACATGCAATAAAATATATTTCAGATGAATAGAGAGAATAATCACTGTTGCCCTTTTAATTGTTTGCTCAAGCAATAACAAGGCTTATTGTTACAATATATTGAATGTGATGAATAGACCTGCAGTCTTGCACACTAACAAAGACAGAGATCCACATGAACAAACATACAGACAGCACACTATTCAGTGTAACTAATTATCACTCTCCTCACTGCCTCCATGGTGAACTCGATCAATTGATCTCATTTGCACATTCTCCAGAGGAGGAATTACTGCCCGTTGTCTCCAGTCGATCACCTCGTGCAGAGTCTCTCTGTGTGAGTTCACTGCTGAAGACAGGAGGTCAGCAGGAGGAAATGAATGCTTGAGTCAAACTCCTCGACAGGCCAACACAAACATCTCAAACACAAAGTAACAAACTGAGGTAGGAAAACAAAAAGGGCATTTTGTCACACTAAATGGGGCATGATATCAGAACCAAAAACCAACACTGCCTAATAAAATCCGTATTTCATAACAGTGTGTTATATAGGCTATTAGGCTATGTATAATTATGTGAGCGGGGACATAACTAGATTCAGCTTTATCTAAATAATTACAAAACGAAAAAAAAGAAAAAAGTAAAATTTAACAACAGTTTTAGCCAACATATTTTTTATTTAAAGTGTCCAATTCAGCAAAAATTTACTGGACTAAAATCATGCAATTTGTCACGTAGGCTATGCTAGTGCTTCCACCTACTGTTTGTTTATGTGAATAACCAGTTTGATGATGCAACGTCTATGAAATTAATACGTTAAATAATAAAACTATAAATTATTACATTTAATAACTTTGGAACAAACTAGTTTTGAAAAATACACTGTAAAACGTTTGGGTACAGGATACAAAAAGACCTCGACTTTACAAATGGTGGGAATTGCGGGTTTATGTGATTTAATTTTAGAAATGTTTTCAGCCAACACTGGTCTGGTGTTATTAACGACTTCAATTCGAAAGCTCAAGAAATACGTTTACTAAAGTCCCCCTGTGGTGAAAATCAAGTTTGTAATGTTGTTTATATATCTATGTGGTGTTTTTAATAAGCTTTAAGACCAACTATATGCAAATTCATAAGTCAACATTGCTGTTTGAAATCACTGTCTCTTAAAGCTGCAGTCCGTAACTTTTTGGGGTTAGTCATCCAAAATAAAATTTTGAGCAAGTAACCAGCCAGTGTTAAAAAACTATCAGCTTGCCTTAGCTCGATTCAAAACGATAAGCTTGTAATAATGTTTTTAATTTCAGCGGTAGGCTAACTGGTGGATTTCTGCGGGAGATTCGAGCATGTGTCATTTTAAGTCACATCTGAACACAGAAAGAAGGAGTCTCGGCTAGTAGGCTGTTGTGTGTGAGGAGGATGATGGAGGTGGAGATTTGTAGTCTTTTCTCACAGCACTGGTTCAAAACAGACGCAGAGACAGTTTTTTTTCTGCTGGACAGGTAAGACATAAGTGATCGTTAGATTTAATCAGCGCAATTTACTGCAATGCTTTTTTCAGTTAGTTGGTCAGAAGAACAAAAGTGGATGTTACTAGTTCAGATGACATTTTCCGGTGAAAATTTGTATGTTGGTCATACTTCCAAAAAGTATAATCTGATTGTGAATGACTGTATCCACACCGGCACAGTGACAGACAGCTGCAAATTCTCCTCAAAACATTGGATTCATCCGCGCTGTGCCATGCCGAGGCACAACCCACGTAAAGTTGATAATTCCGAGACTGACTGCAATTGCAGATGTCGAACAGAGATGGCAACAAAAAGGAAAAAACTACAACTGCAGCTTTAAGTCTCAAACTACCTTGAAAGCAATCACGTTAACATGTAGGCAGGCTTTTGCATATCATTAACTATGACCGCTCTGTCTGAAACAGTGGAGTCTCAAGAGAAGACAGGTTATCACGGTATATTTTTCTGTTGATATGAAAAATCGGGTAGATTTAGCAATATAGTAGGTGTATGATGTATATTACAATGTTGTGATGAACTACATGCCTTTCACCACTGACGTTATGATTTGTTCAACTTCAAAGCATTTGAATTTCAGAAGGCAGCTGACCGACTCTGGGATGTGAACATTAGCATTAGCAACACATTATAAGCTGGTTGATAACGTTGTCAAGCAAAAGGTTAATTAATCATATTGATAATGGTTATATGTTTGACCTTGTAAAGAGCGATACCAATGTGCAGAGTTTACTGAGTGGACCTCTGAGCTGGCGTGAGTGAGTGGAGATAGGGTTAATTAGCATTTTCATGAATCCACATATAGTGGATGAAGCAAGGGTGTAGTTACATTCAAGCTATTTTAAGGCATGAAGAATTTTATTTCACAGGAAAAAAATGTTTAAATGTAATTTTGGTGATTGAGTGAGTTTTAAGGGATACAATTATTGGCTTGGGGGACTTTAAATGGTTTATCATCAAGGACAATATAAGGCTGCAACGGAATTCAAGGCTTCTCCCTGTTCAGTTCATTTCCACCACATTCGGCATCTCGTGTGCCCAGATCATGTGAGTGTAGAGTAGTAGATATACTGTGCAAAGCTGTTTCCAGTCATTTTCTGGAATACTGTTAGACTTATCAGTGTTTGGTCTCGTGTGTGGGAGTAGCTATACTCTGTGCTTCTGTCAATGTGACTGCTGCAGCTATGCCATGCATGCATCAGTGTTTCTGAAGAGATGCCACCCTACAGAATGGCACTCTAAAAAAACAAACATCCTAATTCCATTTCACAGCTTTAGATTTGTCACATGCTGTGACTGATTAACTTGCCTTGACTCCAAAATCCATTATATTCCAAAACATTATGCTTTCATGGGCCTCATTTTGCACCCATCTATCAAAAAGCATGGACATATGAATTGAAGGTGGATTTCATAATTATTTACAAACGAGGAAGCAATGTTTACCTCAATCAAAGTGATCCGATAGATAGATAGATAGATAGATAGATAGATAGATAGATAGATAGATAGATGTTCAGCTAATCAATGAAACCAGAGCAGTTTGATGTTCAAATCATTTAGATATCAATGCTACCATTCAGATGTACACGATGATAACTGTGGGAGACACACTGTGCCAAAGGCCTCTGGAGAAGCACAAACAAACCAAGACCAATTCAGTGTGACAGCAGTCAGCTCTCTCAGGACCACCATGACCAAGACAACCGACAACAGCTGCCAAACACTGCCTGGCAGCGGAGATGAGGGGGAGTCAAAGCTTACTGGTACCTCATGCTATACAAACAAATTCTCTCTCATCCGAGTCCAAATGTTTTGATGATTTTCATGAAATGTAAGACGATACAAACACAGCATCTGAAATCCTGTTAAGAGATAGTCTGTATGGAGGAAAAAACATTGAAACGGAAAAAAAAAACAAATCCCGAGGGGATTAAAGGAACTATACAATTGGAGAGTGAGAGAGTAGAAAGAAAGATAGAAAGAGAAAGCCGTATCTGGAATGATCACAGCATGAGAGGGGGAGACATGAGGCGGTGCTCTGAATAGGAAGCAGAGGGAAGGATGGGAAGAGATTAGTGCTGCACTCTGTGGACTCATCACTCAATGAAAGAACACTCTACAAACAACAAGGGTGCTCAGCCTCAGGAGAACTGCATGGGAAAGATGCGAGTTTCATTTTTGGGAAATATAAAACTTGCTGGAAAACGCTTTGGACTTACTGGATATTTTCAAATCAGGATAATCGAACTTCTAATAATGGATTGATGCATCAAAGTAAGAAAAGAGGAACCAGATCTAGGAGGGTTCTAAGTGACTTTTCTGGTAGGCTTTCCTGTGTATAAATGTAAAACAAATTTGAATTTTTATTAAGTGCTCCAGATTCCTTGCTCCAGATACTGTCCATCTGCTCTTGTGAAATACTGGAGGACATGACAATTGTAAAATGACCTTCCTGGGATTTAAGAGCAGAGGGCTTCCTTTGTTGAGTGTTTCTCCGATGTTCCTGATGTAATCCTTTTAACGTGCAACCAAAAAAAATGATCTCTACCTATTATATGGTTTTGTTCTCGCTCTTGTTTCGGATCTCAGGAGCTAGTTGTCCTCATGGCTGCCTGTGCACCTCTGACATACTGAACTGTGGCTCTTTAGGTCTGGATAGATTTCCCAACCTGCTTCCAGTCACGACTTCTGTCTTGGACCTCAGTCATAACAGACTAACATGGCTGGCAGCCGACAGCTTCTACGGGCTCCCAAGGCTGCACTCTTTGCATATGTCCCATAACCGCATCTCCTTGCTCAGCCTGGGAGCTTTCCATAACGCCAGCGGTCTACGATACCTGGACCTATCTTCCAACAAATTACAGGTGGTGGGGAAGTATCACTTCCAGAACCTACCGGCCTTGGAGGTGTTGTTGCTGTACAACAACCGTCTTTCCCACGTGGAGAGCAACACACTAATGGGGCTCGGTAGTCTCAGAAAGGTTTATTTCAGCTTCAACCAGATCACAGACTTCCCGTTCTTCTCAGTTCGCAAGCATAGCCACCCCAACCTGGTTACGCTGGACCTCTCCTCAAACCGTCTGTTTCGTTTACCCATGGATGACATTGTGCTGTTGCCTGTTGCGGTGCAAAAAGGCCTGTTTCTGCATAACAACAGTCTGGAGTGCGATTGCTCTGTGTACCGCATGTTTTGGCACTGGGAGCAGAAGGGATATGCAAGCGTGAAAGACTACAAGGATGACTACAAGTGTCTGAAGTACGGTGAACCTCAAATCTCAATTAATTTTCTGCGCTCTACACACTTCTTTGAGAATTGTACAATTGGGAAGATGATATCCCTGATATCCCCCAAGGCTGATAAAGTTGTTTATGAGGGTGAACAAGTGAGACTGGACTGCACTGGAACACTAAATGGAGAAGACCTGTCCTACAGCTGGATCATTCCTCATCAAGAGAACATCTCTCAGCTGATCCAGAACGGAACTCTACGCCTCAATCAAGACGGTAGCTTGGATATTCTTGCTGCCCAGTCCATAGATTCGGGGGTCTACCAGTGCACTGCTGTGGATAATACGAGGATGATAAATGAGTCACGAGAAGTGAACCTAACTGTCGTAGCCCAGCGCTCCTCAGAGGAGCCGTTCAACACAGGCTACACCACTCTTTTTGGGTGTGTTGTGACCCTTGTCCTGATATTGATGTATCTGTATTTAACCCCATGTCGCTGTGGTTGCTGCAAACCTCCTCCCTCCTCTCCAGTCATCTCAACCTTTGGGGAAGACCGCTGCACTCTGGCCTCTATCTTTGCAGATCCTTCAACTGATCGACTCAAGGGCAAGTCTCAGTCCGACAGGCATGTAATGTTCCTTGAGCCACTCATGGCTGGGAAAAACGGCCATATGAAAGCTGCATTTGTTGTTGAACAGCCTGCAGTTGAATGGGACACAGAAAACATTACCATTATCAGCTAAAGAAATTACAGAGTACCACATTTGTAATTTCAAAATCCTACAGGATTGATTAACCTGTTTGAGGTACAAGTATCACCAATTTATCTGTCATTATTCCCTAATAAATTATTTTGATCCTCAGATTTAGAGGGTGTCTGATTTCTCACAGTATGAAGTAATGAATGTATGGGACTGAGCTGCTGCTAGTGATGTGCTGAAAATCCAATCCAATTTAGATATCCTGGGAGCAAATGTATTGAATTTGCTCCAAAAAGCTCAAAAGTCACTGTGACAAACAAAAGACACTGGTTGTCAGCAATGCAAGTCCCTTTCGAAGGGAGCTCAACAATACGTCGAATGACGCTATGGTGAAACGCCTATAGCGTCATTCGACATATTGTCTCATTCCCTGTTCTCAGGGAACATAGGTTACAGTCGTAACCTGAGACGTTATTTGCGTAGATCAAAAACTATCAGTGCTTCATCTGATTTAGTCAGTTACACATCTCATTTAGATCTCAAGTTCTTCATGTATAGTTTTTCAGAAAGATCAACCAGTGATTTAGGAGAGGACATATCAGTAATCTCATAACCTCAACAACAGAAGACCTTCTAGATCTACTTAAGACTAAGGTTTAATCTCTTCAGTTGTGTCATTACCATTAGATAAATCTAATCCTTTATTGTAAAAAAAAAAAAAAAAAACGACGAATTTTGTTACGGAACCATATACGAAAATAAATGTTCTAGCTCGCACCAAGCAGTTGTGAAAAGCAAAGAACAAGATAAATGAAGAAGCAGCAGTGAAGGCAATGTAGTGATGTCTGTTTATGTGTGATATTATTCATTTCAGCACTTTGCATTAAGCAAATTGCTCTTTCATTACAGAGATGTGCTATGGGAGAGGATTAACACCCCTGCCAGAATTTTCCCTCCCACACCATGCAAACTAAAAGCAAAATATGAAAATGAAAGGGTACCAAGGTACAGAGTTAATCCACGCAGTCCATTTCCAGATGTGATCAGATTTATCTGCGGCAACCCACTTTCACATACGTAATACGACACATGTCCCCTGGTTGTTTGAAACTGCTGTGCAGTTGACAAAGCCCTGCCAAATGCAATTCTACCAGATTTGTTTAAATAAATAAAAAATAGGCCTATATGATCGTATTCAAACTTTTCTCATTAGATCTCATACATGTACATCCTATAATGCCAAAATAACTCACCAAACGGATCTGACTGTGTCATCAAACTCATCTCATTTTGATGTGGTTAAAATCATGTCTCCCTGTCAGTGCAATACAGAGGAACAACAGAAAAACAGTTTGTTTATAGAGTTGTTTTAAGAGATGACTACATTCAATGAGAGATTAAATGACCGGGAGTCAGATTTTACCAGATTATTCTTTGGGGAAAACCAAGGTACTCCAACAGTTTTTTCAGCCTTCTCTTAATCCTTTAAGCTTTCTTTTTCTTTTTTTCCCATTCTGCTGCTGGCATGATTTGGTCTTATTTTTCTTTCTAACCTACACTGAACTCAGGAGGTGATAAATGTAACCAAACAACAGATCTCCCAGCTACATAGAAATAGCAGAAAAGGTGTTTTAAACAAAATCGTACGCATAATTTTTTTTAGAGACATAGCTGTTTATCTAAATAGTAACATTTGTGAAATGCCCTGAGGTATTTTCTACAGAACTTCAGCTAACCAAATTCATATTTTTCATGTACAAAGGGCAAATTCAGTTTTGAAATAAAGATGCATAATATTCTTTATACATTTAAACACACTGATTCATTGTTTTTTGACAAAAAAACAAACCCTTTAGAAAATTGCATCAGCATCAGACCAGCAGAATCAATTAGGAAATTATGCCCTCTGCTGGCCGGCTATAAAACCATTAGGTCGAACGTTACCAATGCACACATATGAAACAACTTTGGCATTGATTATCCTCATTGGAAAAGAAAATCCTTAACCAATTTTATATAACATCATAACTATGTACATGGTCAAAGAGTACAACCATTCCCAAGAGTTAATACTGAACACAATATCACAATGTTTGATACAACCTTGTTTTAATAGAACATCTGTACAACCAAGAATGTAAAAAACAAAAAAACAGCTAAAATGAAGAACGACTCACTTTCTCTCTTTAAAAAAATATTGTCTGCATTTTGCTCCTTGTTCACAAACAGGTTTTTTTTTGAAAATCCGAACAAAAAGTATTGACAAAAATGAAACATTGAAAGGCAATTACATTTCTTGGCAATATAAATATAGTGGTATGAACAAGGTTTCTCAAACATCTTGTTTAGGAAGGGCATTACTGAAAACAGTGGAAATCTGGCCACTGTCTGAGTCACCAATCTCTTTATACAAAACCAGATTAATTTTTTTGTATTTTTTATTTCAGATGATGATATTTTGATGTGCTCTTAATGGTAAATATGTACATTCCTAATGCCAGTAGTCTATGAGGGAACATAGTATCCCTATGGCATTTAGTTGAAGGTGTAGTCCGAATAGTAGTCTGGCCAACCACCCCCTCCCCTCCCAGGGGGATAGCCCCAGTTACAGGACGGGCCCCCTCTGATGTGACCCCGGCCAGGTCGAGATCTCATAGGGTGTGGTGGTACTCCTCGACCCCTGAAGCCACCACGCATCATATCAGCTATTCCACCTCTGGGATTGTACATGCTATTGTTGTGTCCGCCTCGGCACAAGGGTCCCAGTGTGGCTCCAGGGATGGGTAAGAGTCCTCGGCTTGCAGTGCCGCCCCTGGTAGGAGGGGCTTGACTGCTTCCCTGATTCGCAGAGGAAGAGGTCACTGGAATATTGCTGCCTTGGCTGCATGAGGTCGAACTACCAGGCGCACTTCCTTTATCTCTACTGCCCTCCTGCTGGCCCACTTTAGCGGTTGCTGAAGCAGGGGCATCATCTTCCTCTTGTCCACGAGAGGTTCCGCTCTCAGTGTCGCCCACCCAAGATCCATCTGCAGGCCTAGCAGCCTCAGTTTGGGCGGAAGGAATAGTGCCGAATCCTGCCCCACTCTGTCCAGCCGCATATCCCTGCTGGGCTCCCGGTGTAGGAACCCAGTTGTAAAGCGGTGGAACGGGGGGAATTGGAGTGAGGGCTGGGAAAAGCGTAGCATCTGGGTAGGAGGGAAAAGTGGGGTGAATAGAGGACGCGGAAGAAGTGGAGGATGAGGAAGCAGTCTCTACACACATCTTAGCAGTTTGAGAGCCAGCAAGTCCTTGCTGATTAGCGGTTGCCGCCCCAGGCACTCCCATACTGTCAGGAACAGGTGGCTGAAGAGAGGAGGCTGACTCCGGAGTAGGAGGCACCTCCAACAAGCTAACTGGCGGCTGTGGGAGGGAAAGGGGAGGTGGTTGGGCAACAGGTAAGGTGCAGGAGTTTGTAGGAGGTTGAGTCCCAGGAGGAGCAGGAGTTTGACTGTACTCTGATCCCCTGGAGGTCACGCTGACAGGAGATGAATATGCCGAGGACATGTGGTATGCAGGAGAACCAGAGTAAGGGCTCCACTGTGCGGAGTTGGGACACAGGTAGCTCTGGTGGGGATTCACGCCAAAACTGGCCAGGGTGTCCTCTACTTCAGGTCTAGGTGTGCCATCCTGACTGGCAGCTTTATATTGAGCGATGGCACACTTCAGAGCTGCATAATCAGTCAGGTAAGAGCCCTGGGTAGGGTAGGTGGTAGGGTTTGGATGCACAAGTGGATCGATAATGGGGTCCAAAGAGGGTTGGTCAGGGAGGGGAGGACGAAATCCATCAGTCTGCGGCGGAGGGGGCTGAGGAGCCTGCAGTTCCGACAGGTCATTTTCAGTCTGAATGGAAGTCTCATTGTTCACCAGCATGTCATCTTCAGAGTCTATAGACATGTCCTCCTCATCTCGAACAGCATCAGGCTCCACTGAGCAGTCAAAGAGAAGACAACATATCAATATCTATAATTTCTTAGTGAATTTTGTCAGAAGTAGTAAAGAACTCTGGAGTCTTACCTGGATCAGGTAGGGCAGCCAATGCTACTTCTTCTGGGACACTGACCAAACTCTGGAAGTTGTTCATGATGTCATTCATACCTGCAATGATCACTCCACTACCGGAGAACTGTGAAAATGCGTCGTCATGCTTCTCTGTATATAAACACAGCACCGATTGATTAAGAAACATCACACATGATTCCACATACCTCCATTCATAAACACCAGCATTCAACTAGACCTGTTGTGCGTACCTGTGAGGAAGATGAGGTGTCGAAGCTGTGTGTGTTGAGCCTGCAGTTTTACCAAACAGTCCAAATCAGGAGCCTGCCTAGAAGGAGTATCACACTCATGATAAGGCAGAAACTCCACCAGGTGTTTCTTCTGGTATGTCGTCAGCAGGTTCAAAAGATTCAGGGCCTCAGTGTTTAACCTGTGAAAGGAAAGATGTTTGAGATATTGGTGACTAGGAGTTTGTCAGGATTGGTGAATTAGACTAATCATTCTGTCTCTAACCTGCTGAGCTCTTTAAGCTTCTTCTGAGTCTTACAGTGCACCTTCCACTTCCAGGGTGAGCCCTGTTCCTCCAGGAACTTAAGAAATGCCTGTAGCTTCTCTGTAAACATAAATGTCAGTTCTTAAAGTTTTGATGTAATGAAAATAGAAACAGTTGTTGATTTGATGGAGGCAGTTCTGAATGCAAGCTTGCACCATTTGGAAGAAAGGTTCAGTTTTAAGCAGACTAATGTCACCGGAGAAGTCTGTTGTTTTCCCCCGGAAGATCGAGTAATGATGTTTTTAATAAAAATTGTGTGACAACATGTGAATAAATAATACACAATCAAGATAATCAAGATGCATTTAGAAAATGCTGCCTTTAAATGAAAGGATACACACATTTTTGCATTCACGAAATTCAAAGCTACGAACCATCATGTTGAAACGGTCTGTCCAAAAGTTTACTGTGTGTGCTTTTTTAAATTCCTGAAGATTTTGTAAGCCACTAAGCCATTCAGCTCTTACCTAGTGTTATATTGTCTGGGTTGAGTATGAGCTCATCCGACACAATAAGACCTCCAGACACGAAGAGCTCATTGTAAGTGCGATTCTTCACATCATCCAGACTGTC